ATGGCTCTGCTGCTCACACCAGGTTTGTAAGATGAGCACAAATCACGCCCATACATGTGCATGAGTGCCAAAAGCATTAGGAACGTTTGTCAGTTTGCAGTTGGTGGGCACAAGGAGTTATGGAAGGTAAGACACAACACAGAGTTACACTTGTTCCAGGATGTTATATTCACCTGAAATTCAGGAATTAGCTCTGCAGCATTCTCAAACAGTGGGAAAATGAAGGGCAGCAAAAGGAGCTGAGGTCCTTTCATTTCAGTACCCACACTACCATAAATGTGACCAGCTGCCAAGAGTACAAGGAAGGATTCAGAACAGCCTAGTGTTGCTGAATTGCAGAAACATGTTTTTCCCTTAGCTTGTTGCTGATGGAGGTTTTTACTCTGCTGCCCTGGCAGTTAACGTTGTGTGTTGAGTTGAGTGCCAGTGGAATTATCTTCTAGAAGCTCAAGGTAACGTGCAGTGTTTGACTTCTTTATGTTGCTTGTGCATAATCACTTGCAAAATTCTGATGTTGAAGGAGAGGCTGGTTGGGAGTAAACAAATTACAGAAATTTTCTACTTTAATAATTAACAGACTTGTTAAATCTACAGATCGTGTGACAGTAAAAAAAAATCAATTTTTCTTTGGCTCAAAGATGCAGGTATAGCACACACTGAATCCAGTGGAAGAAATGGAACTGATTTTAGCAGGACTTAGATCAATTCATTAGTCTTTCAGTTACCTTTCAATAGGAAAAGTGACTGCGTTAAAAAGTAGTCAAATGTCACTATCCTAGTTAACCTTCTCAGACTTGAAATGAATTTTCAAGGCATTATAAGAACTGGAATTCAGACTGAGTGTTGTTTCTTTCATGGGAGTTTTTTGGAGTCTGCATACAAATCGTTATTCTGGAAGAGAATTTATGAGAGTGCAAGCTGCTTACGTGTGAATGTTATATAAAAACAAAAGAGGCAATAGCTAAAGGTAGTTAAAAGTACTGTATTAGGGTAGTGGTAGGATATCAACTCTGTTCTGTGCTAGTTGGTGTCATCACTCTCTTCTTTTCTAGGAATGGTCTTGTATAAGGAAGTGGGAGTGTGGTGTTTGAAAAGTTTCTGTGGGTAGTGAGGCACTGACTTGCCCTACAGGATGAATTTGGTAGCCTTGAAGACTAGAATAATGAATGTAGAATGCTTTGAAAGAATAGTAGAAAGAGATAATTTTTCAGAGTGCAGGGTCATGTACTCTGACTAGTAACAGATTTTTTTGTGAATTTCACAAGTTATAAGTAGCTGAAAACTGAGTTGACTGCAATTGAGTGCTTTCCTGAAAAAGACGGTATATTCCTAGATTATATCAGGTGTTGTATTGAATACTAGGTTGTATCAGGTGTGGTATTTAAAGCTGTAGTAAGGTATCTTGTACATGGCCCAGGGGAAGACGTCCTGTTGTGCAAGTTATAACTATAAGCAGCAGCTACAAAAGAGAGCAATCAAGAGAGCTGAAGTGTGAGGAAACAGCTTTGGAAGAGCAAACTGAGTTTACGTTGCTGTGTATACCCAGAGAAGCTTGGGCTGTACCACACTGGGATGATTACAGCAGTATCTCCTGCAGTGCTTTTTTAGCTCATGTGATATTCCTTGTGAATGCAGCTGTAGAATAACGTTCTCATCTTTCTTAAACAGTAGTGCAAGAAATCACTAGACCGTTTTGAAAGCATTCATTTGAAAATGAATATTCTCAATATGCTTACTTTCTTTGATCATGTGCTTAGTTATTCATTGTCCTCTGCATATTAACAAGCATTGGGAGGCATAATTACTGTAACAGCCAAATTATCTTCTGGTCTGACACATGCCTGACCCATCAGACAAGAGTGGGTGCTTCTGCTGAAACTGACAATTGAGAACTTGAGTTGTAAGAGGCTGGAAGACTTTCAGTCTCTAGTTCCTGCTATTCAAGTTAGTTGTTAATGAGACTCTTCTAACTTCATTTTACTCACACTTTTCTGTTACGTTTTCTCATGTATCGTGGCATCACTGTGAGCTCTGTGGTTATATGTCAAGACTAAACTGTTTTACTTGTATTAAACTGAACAACTAACTTAGTATTTATTTTTAGGTTCCTCCAGTGGTGGACTCTTGGGTAGTGGATTTAGTCAGAAGACTGCTCCATCTCAGAAGCTGGGAAATCAGTGGCAGAAATCCCCAAAACCACCAAGTACTTCATGGCAGTCTCAGACTAAATCCAGCACAGCACCTAAGCCCAACTACACAGTAAACTTCAGTGTTATTGGAGGACGAGAAGAAAGAGGAGTCAGAACCCCAAGCTTCGGTAAGTTTTCTGAATGTATTACTTACAGTGGCCCATATGAAGTTAGTTGGGTGCACTGTTGCCTGCAGAAGCTCTTGTACCTCCATATTTTTATTTACATTTAGGTTGTATCTAATAGAAAACAGAAAAACAGAAGTTCTTGGCAAATCTTGGCAAATCCTTTTTGTATCACTGGGTTTAGAAAGGTAAATTCGATCTATCTGGGGAGAGATGGTTGATAATGTTTCATGTTAGTCCGTTTGTGATACACAGGGAAAGGGATGCAACGTTATTCCAAACTAAAAATTAGTACCTACTCTTGAGAAAGTTTGAGGCTAAACTTACTGGAAATTCTTGGGTTTCAAACAGATATGGAGACAGGACCAGATGTAATCATACTGGGAGTAATTTAAGATGCTCCAACTGAATAGGCAAACGTAGAGTTATAGGGATGGGCACGGCCTCTTCTACATCAACTTTCTTGGAAAATATTATTTTCCTGGCGTGTTGGTATTAGGATTATGCCTCCCTTTAGCTGGCATATAAATGAACAACAGATACTTTATGTTGAAATGATTCTGTTGATCTGTGTCTGGAAAGAAGTGACAGGATGGAGAGGCAGTGGGCATGAGTTGCAGCATGTGGAAGTCTGTAGAACAAGGCAAAAAAAATGAATTAGCATGATGAAGTGCTGAAATGGGATGCTGTAGTTCCTCTCCCTTGAAAACAGATGGATGTCAACTGGTCAGAGACCTGAGAAATGAACTGAGTTGTCCCTGTTTTGAGTGAAAATTGGACTAGATAACATCCAGAGGCCTCTTCAGAATTCAGTTATTCTACAGTTCTCTGAAATGTGTTGGTTCTATAATGAATATTCCTGTTAGTATTTTATCTCTTCATTATACTGTATAAGTTGCAACACTTAGATGTTGACTACATACTTCTAACTAGAGCAGTTGAAAAACTGCTGCATAGCCATTAGAATTAACTTACAGAGAAAAAATGGAACCATTTCCAAAACCATGAACAGATAGATGTGTGCTCCCTCAAGTCTACTCCCATTTTTAAAAAAAGAGGACATGCAAGTGTTCAGTCAGATGGATGCACGTGAGCTTGTCTGTTCTGTTAGACTGAAAGCTTGTCAGTGATCTCCTTTATTCTTGTCCTTCTGTTAGTCTTGTGGAATTTATCAAGTCACTGAAGAATGTTTATCATGGTAGTGATACGTGCCAGGGGTGTGTATCTGAGTGCCATGTATTTCCGCCATTAATGTATTCTCCTTTGTAACTTTTTATTTAATGTTCTTCTCCTTCCATAGGTCAAAAGCCAAAAGTTTCAGAAAATGACTTTGAGGATCTCTTATCTAATCAAGGATTTTCAGCGAAATCTGATAAAAAGGGACCAAAGACTATTGCTGAGATGAGAAAACAAGAAATGTCTAAAGATATGGACCCCTTGAAGCTCAAGGTTTGTTTAACAGTGATTTTGATTTAAGTGAAAATCTGATCTTAGCAGAAGGATACAATGACTAACAGAGAAACTAATGGCCATGGGTTTAAAATGCAGCCACTTGCCCTCCACCCACTGAGGTGGGATGGTGAGGAGGATTGATTAAAAAGCTAAAACTTGTATGTTGAGATAAAAATGGTTTAATAACTGAGATAAAGTAAAATAATAGACTGGACTGGGTTGGAATAATAACAATAATAATTTAAGAGAGAGAGAAGAAGAAAGCCCAGGAGACACTAGTGATGCACAGTACAATTCCTCACCACCTGCTGATCAGTGCCGAGCTCGTCCCCAAGCAGCAATGGACAGCCCACAGTTGACTCCCCCCAGTCTGTGTACTGGGTGTGATGTTCTGTGGTATGGAATATCTCTCTGGCCCGTTTAGGTCAGCTGTCCTGACTGAGCTCCCTCCCAGCTTCTTGTGCTCACTGGCAGAACATGGAAAACTGAAAAGCCTCTGACTCAGGGGAAGCACCACATAACACACCAATGTTTTAGTTGCTGCTGTCAGCATTATTATCATACTAAAGCCAAAACACAGCACCAGCTACTAGGGGAAAAAATTAACTCTATCCCATTCTGATAAAATAGAACGAAATTTTATCTTTATTTAAATCATGTGACTCTAGAACAATTAGCAGGAACAAGAGTCAGTTGGCAATGAAGTAGCAGTGATAATAGCACAAAAATGTATGGATGGAATGCAAATTTCTGTTTCCTTCAACTAAACTTGGAGAATTAAAGAACGAGTTTTCTTGTCAAACTCCCATTTCTCCAAGCTAGAACTACTCTTTATCTCTAGTGTTCCCATAGGTCTCCTGGGAAAAGATAGATTTAACTGATAATACAAAACCATGCTTTAAAAAACAGGCAGTTGAGAATAGCTGTCTTCAGGGTGACCACATACTTGCATTTACTGGTTAACAAGTGCTACTGCTGTCCTAAGAAACTACTAGGAGGTGCAATTCCGGAAATAAGCTATATAACTAATTTGGGAGGTGTTACCTGATGAGCTGTTCAGATTTTTTTTTTTTATGTGTTACTCATTGATAACACTGCATAATAATATACTTTCAGTTTCGTAGCCTTTATGGTGTTTTAGAAAAGTTTGTAGAAGAACCTTGGAGGGGTGCTCTGAAAAGGGAGTGCACAGTTTGCGTGGTTACCTTTTAACACAAATCACTGCAAGTGGAAATAAATACAGATTTTTATTTACCATACTCATTGTTGATAGATGGCAGAGATTGTCATATTACATAAGCATTCAATGAAAACACTATCACGATATCAGTGGCTTGAATATTGCTGTTAAAGTTGGAAATGGCCAGTTATCAGAATAACTTTGTCGGGGATATCTCAAAGAACACTTTAGTTTGTGCTCCTCTTCCAGTTGCTTAAGTAAACATTGACTATTAATATACATGATCTTTTGTACAATGCTTGTGCACTTATGCTTTTTTACAAATCAGGTAAGAATTTTAGTTAATTAACCTTGTGCCCTGATGGGGACAAGATTAATGTAATTTGAGTGTAATATCTAATTGTAACATATGCTTTTAATTACTCCTGACAATTCCCTTGTCATTGTTTTTACAGAGGTTTGTAATATGTAACTATCTCAGTAATATCTCTTGCAATGACTGAATTTCTGCGGTAAACTAATAACAGTGAACTACTCCTGAGTGGTAGATGAAAAGTTTCACTTTCAGATGGCTAAAACAGTTGAACTTGGGGAGTGAGTGCAGTAAGACAACTGTGCTTGAGTCTTAAAATTGTAATTGTGCACAGAATGAGGATTATGTCTGTAGATAGACTGAGAATCCTTACAGTGCTGCATTCAGTTCTATATATTCTGATTTTCCCAGATTCTTGAATGGATTGAAGGAAAGGAGAGAAATATCAGAGCATTAATATCCACTCTTCATACAGTGCTTTGGGAAGGGGAAACTAAGTGGAAACCAGTCAGCATGGCAGATTTAGTAACTCCTGAACAAGTAAAGAAGTACTACAGGAAAGCAGTCCTTGTAGTTCATCCAGATAAGGTGAGTGTGGTCCTCTGATCTTCTTTACTTTAGAAGGACTACAAGCTGCTTTTACCACACTGTACTAGTCACTGGAAAATGCCTTGCTTCTTGATCAGCACTCTAGGTGCTCTTCACTTTGCTTCTGTTGTCTTCTGAATGTGGTGTCCTGCTGCATTCAGGTAGTCTGGGATTTTTCTTGTCGTCCTGACACAGAACAGAATTCAACAGGTAAGCATTAATAAATGAAACATCCTATGAAAGATGTACTGAGCACCAAAGTCAGTTATGCTGGATTCTGACTGCAGGCAGGTTTAGTGCTGGTTAGTGGAATCTGCCTTATTTCCGTGAGCTGTTATTTCAGGTCTTTTAGGACTATGCACCTGTAAATGGAGACTCAGAGGCTGCCATAGCAAAACCATTAGGAAAAACCTGCTGAACCTTGTTTACTAAACAATTTTTACTAGAAAAAGTAAACTTTAGTAAACAAATGATCAGATGAAAAGTATGTGATAAGTGTGATATTCCAGTAGTCTTTTTAAAATATTTAATGCATTCCATGGTTTGTTAGTCTTCCAGTGTATGAAGGTACCTTCTTGTTCTGAGCTATTGCTCTGAGTTGTATTTTAGATACAAAGATAAGCATTGAATATACCTGGTTTGAATTTTCAGGCTTGCTGTTTAGTGGTTGTGAGTGGTTGTGGTTCAGTGAGCAGTAGTCTCAATTCTGTGTCGTCTTGTGTCCATAACAGAAAAAAACAACACACTCTTTGGGTTTTTTTCTCCCCCCTGTCCTTCAGTATTTTTGGCTATGTGGCTTCTTCTTTCACCCTTGTGATGTTTTTTTGGTGTTTTCTGGAGGCTCCTCAGTGCATCAGTGTCAGAACACCGCTCTCTTTGAGGCACAGTCTTCTTTCTCATTTATTTTTTTCTGCCACTTATCCACTAAAGCACCCTCTAAAAGAGTCAATACAGTACTGCAGCTGGCAAGAGCTAAGCAGCAGGAGAAGGGGAAGGATACTGGAAAGGCCTCTGAAGCTTCCCTTTTGTGTTGGAAAGAACCTGGTAAAATAATTCCTGTTTTGGAACTGGATCTCTATGAACCACGAGGGTTGGGTTCTGTTGGCCCAGAGTCAGGGCTGCTGTGAAACAGGCAGGGAATCGTGATCAATACTGTCTTTGAGTGTGGAAGGAAGCACACAGGAAGTGCAATGTAATTCATGTTACATGAATTGCATGAATCTTAACATCAGTGACAATCAGCAACAGATTTTACTCCAAAAAATCCCATCCAGAAGGAGTTGTCTTAAAAAGTACTCAGATCCTTGTGCACTACTGCAAGCTGTCTCAGGAAGCAAATGCAAAAGTTACTTATTTGATCGGTTAAGTGATAATAACTAAAACTTTTTATGGAAAGAGTTTTGAAAACTGTTTTTAGCTAAGGTTCAGTTACTTATGAATTGCACTGTAAGCCTGAAGATAATTTAAGGAATCCAAGGGCTTGGTTTTGTTTAGAATACTTGTGGCAAGCTTTGGATAAGGTTGGAGAGAGTTACGTGTCTGCAAAATTATGTTCACAAATCAGTCTAAAGTTGTTGAATAAGAGGACAAATATAAAAGGAGTGAGATCTTTTCTAAGTCACCTAATTCCTAATATTTTTATGCTTATTATATGTTCTGTTTGTCTTCAGGCCACGGGACAGCCTTATGAGCAGTATGCCAAAATGATCTTCATGGAATTGAACGACGCGTGGTCAGAGTTTGAAAACCAGGGATCGAAATCCCTTTTCTAAAACTTCACCTCTCACAGAACTGCTTCCAGAAACTGGAGCTGAGCATTGTTGTGACTTTATCGCGCCTACGATTTATGAAGCGCTTTTTCCATGATTTCAGCGCAGTTTCTAGTCATGCACTTAAACGTGGGGATGTATTTTGTAAGATGTAGAGTACAAAGCATTACATAGATCCACTAAGAAAAAAGCTGCTCAGTACCTGTAGAAATCACAGTCTGGGAGTAAAGATTTCTCTTCAGTTTTATATATGAGAAATAGAGTTTTAATGAAGCTAAATAATTTCTGGCGTATTAGTATGAATTATAAACCATTCCAACTTCATTGATCTTTGCTGTACCTCTACCTTCCCAAATTTGTCTGTTCCTTCAAGTAGTTTTGTGATTCAACTTTGATATTTGGTGCCTGTCGCCTTCTTCAAAGTGCTGTAGTTAGCAGCAGTGAATTTGCTTGGCTTATCTCAAACCTAAGGGTGTATATTTTCATCTCTATTTTATGTAATCAATCTGATAATCATTCTGTAAATAATGTTTTCTGGCAATACCTGTGTTCCTTACAACAAAGTAACAGTTGTTTAGCCAAAAAGACCTCAGATGTGGGGAAATCAGACAGGGTTGTTCTTGATTTTTTACTTTTTTTTTTTTTTTTTTTAACATATCATGAATCTAGAAACAAATTTTGACTTTAAGGTCTGCATGTTCCTGCTGTTTTATTATTTATTATAAGGTGGTAATCTGACCTGTGCGTATTTTCCTGGTTCTTTAAATGGTGTCTCTTGCTTCTGATTTCAGTGGAACGTTCCTTTCGTTGCGCTTCAGATACTCTGATAGAAATAATTTTATTCTGAAACTTGAAGTGTAAGCACAAATGTTTTACTGTGCTTTGAGTTGTCTGAGTATTACATTACTCATTGTCATCTGGAGAGCGTTTAAAGTGCTTTAACACGTTTTGCTGCATGTCTGAACTTCTGTATTTTTGAGATAGGCATGGCATCCCTGTATGTAAAAACATGGGGTATATTTGTTGCATTTCTGCTCACCTACCTTCCATGCACTGCCTAGTGCAAGATGAGTAGAAACACAACTTGGTAACAAAGCTTGCCCTGTTTTCTCATCCCTATTCAGAAGGCACTTCTGCACTAGTGCTGGGGTGGATGAATGCAAATGACCAATGACTGTTATACTCCGTGTAATAAAAAATGCAGTTTTCGTATCAAGTTTGAAAATATTGAAAATTAGTGTTGGAGCATTAAATCCTTGGCAGCAGTCTCTTGATTCAGTACAGTTGGGCATTCAAGGGGATATTTTGACCATCTTGCCTTTTTATATGAGAGGGAGGCTGTATCATTATCAGAGGTAACTGTTCTGCTGAGTAATATCTGAACAGAAAACACGAGATTCTAATGTCACCTAAACAGTGTGTGGGATGAGATTTTCCACTTCCACACCAGCCCAAGAGTTGATGGGTTAGAGATGTGTGAACACAGGTTGCAATTTATGGTCTCTAAGCTCTGATCCAACACAGTTACTTATTAACCTCTGGTCAAGGGGTTTGTGTATATTTGCATATATATTCAGCTGCTGTGATTTTTTTTTAAATTTTTTTTAAGATGAAGCTAGGATTAGTTATGGATCAAAAAGTTTGAATATTATTCATAGCTGCAGTTCTATTTCAGTTCCTGCTTTGAAGCAGTCTTAAGTCTCAGTAGATTTCTTCATAAAAGTATATAACTTGCTGTCTGATTTAAAGTAAGAGTTAATCTTTTTTCCTTGGGACAATTCATTAGCTCTTTGTGTATGTGTTTTGCATCCATGGAAATTAAAGGCTTCTGGTGGTAGGATAGGTTTGTGGGAGACCTGCACGGCTCTTTACAGTTCTAGGACAAATGCTATCTAATAATAGGTTTAAAAAGACATATACAAATATTTAATGACTTTGACTGCAGTCCTAAATACAGTTGAGAGAGAAAGCACTTCTGAGGGAGCTGCTTTGAGTAAGGAAGGACTTAAAAAAACCCCATGTTTGCACATACAGGAGGCTTAATTTTGAGGCACACATTTTTAATTGCTCTTTTCTTGAAATAGGTGTTGAAAAAGTTAAAACCTGAGAACTGGGAGGAAAATACCTTTTCTGGATGATGTCTACATTAATCTGCTTTTATTTCTCTACTCTTGCTTGCAAAATTTTCATCAGAGAAGAACCTTAGATGTGATTTTTAAGTGAGCAGGGAAGCATGAATGCAATGGTCTTATCTAGAACTGAAGATCTCTTGAAATTGATCCTCTCTTTTTAAGATTACAGAAAATCATGAACTTTGGTTCTTGCAAGAGCTGTTTGATAATTACCAAAATTTCAGTTGGGTTGACAGAGCAGCTTAACTTACTGAGCTCAACTCAACAGAGATGGCATAGTCATCTCTGGTTCTCAGTGGGGGAACGGGCTGATTTGCTCTGTCCTGCTCCTTTCTGTGTAGTTGAATTTTGCTGCTAAGATTCTGGGAGATGCTCAGTTTGATAAGCCTTTGAATCCTGATATTGAAACTGTTTCAGATAGGTTTGTTTTTTTTTTTTTTTCTCTTTTAGGTGACTGTCATTTAGCTGTGTTGCATACAAGAATGCAAAAAATGGGGATTTCAGTAAGGCTCTGTAAGCAAACTATAAGTTGAAAATTAAAAAGAAAAAATAAAAATTCAAATGATGACTATGAACCTAATAAACTGAAGTTTTGTTTTCTGTGGAACACAAAGCAGCATGAGGACCACTAAAGGTGTTTCTTAGCGTTAGGCTTGTATATTGAATTTTTTAGTTACAGGAACCTGGAAAAGGGAAATCAGAGTACATTTCGTATAAACATATATTAAGTCTTAATGTTGCTTTTAAAGGAGAGGGTCATTTGGAAGAAAAGTCTAGCAGTTCTGTTTGAATTAATCTTAAAACAGTAATAAAAAATGGTAGAAAATCTGGGAATAAGAGCTTTTGCAATCTTTTGCATACTCTGTACTTTGTTGTTTATTGTCTGTCTGCTGTTTGGAATAGGACTGCACTGAAATGATTACACACACATTTCACTGTGGCTATATTCTTAGTGTCCACAACCTGAAAGGCTTTTAGAACAGGCTACAGAAAAAATGGTTCATCAGAGACTTGGCTGGATTCTCTCTTTGCTTAAAATGTGTATTTTCAATTCATGCTTATTATTCATTGCGCAGTTGAGTTCTGAAGGGTTGAAGCCGTGCCCTGAAAGCTGAAATTTTTATATCTGCATCTGCCAACAGCAAAGTTTGAGACTGAGGTGACTGAGTTGTGCCGGTGGGTTAATACCTGAGCCTGCCAGGCTTCGCACGCGGCGCTTGAAATTCTGCGGTGAAGAAACCAAGTCTCTTCCTCCTTCTCACCCACGCTGGTCACTCCTCTCTCTGGTAGCAACCACTGACTAATGCCATGCATCTGTTGCAGCCTACCAGGGTCCACTTTTTAAAAAATAAGTAGGTTGACATGGTTATTGCAACAACAAAGAAAAACAAAGCAACAGAGATTAAAGGAAGACTAGAGAAGAACACCCAGGCTCTAAACTACATCTGAAATACTGTTTTCTAATTCTCTCTTCATTGACCTACTCCTACCTACCTCTGCTAAAGACAGGTCTAGATTAGTAGAGAAAACCTGGTTTGTAGCCTGCTTTTCCAGCCGTTTTAGAGTGCTGCTGACTGACTGTAGCACGTGGCAGTAGCAAGTCTGGCTTTCCTTTTTATTTTTTTTCTCAGAAGTTTCTATAAAGCAGCGTTTCTAAAATGATAGGGCAGGTTTCCACTAGTTCTTTTTTTAATTAAATTGCTCGTTACATTGCTGTTAGAGTCAGGCATAACTTTTTAAAATAGAGATCTGTGAAGAAAAATTGGTGTTAAGAGTGTGCGTGACTGGAACCTGCCTAATGGAGGTGAGTGATGTATTTTGACCATGTTGGAGGAAGTCATTTGGTGTCTTCAACCTTGGCATGCCTGTTTGGTGTTTCCTAGTGCTGTCAGAGTTCCTTAAGAGCAGTGAAGAGTGTTAGTGGTTAGTTAGACATAAAGCCTGGAAGGAAAATGTCCTCTGCACTTAGTTGGGTCAAGTTCAGATATTTTGCTGATCAGTGGTAGTTTCCTTCAGCAAAAACAGAATGGAAAACCTACAACAGTGCCGATGGAGTACCTTTCCTTGGAACAATGGCAAGGTCCTTGGTGTGTTGCACTTGTGAGGGTAACTAGTGCTCAAAAAAAATGCCTTGTTTACCTCCATTTTCTTGATAATTCGAGAGAGTTCCTCCAATGTCTTGCCAAGCACAGAGCAATAGTTCCTTTCTGAATGCAGGCTACATCTCAAAGCTTGCATTGCACAAGAAGAGTATTCTGCAAAAACCAAAGCAGAGTTTGAGTGCAGCTGAAATCTCATCTGCCCTCTGGGACTGCTGGGTTACATGCACCATCCCACCTCCCAAGGCCAGACCAGTTTCCCCAGCAGTGCCAGTGTGTTTGCATAGTAGTTGGCCACTGCATTCTCTGCTGTTCACAGGGTCGTTTCAGGGATGGGATAAATGTGGGAACTTTGTTGCCCCTTAGCTGTGTCCTTAATTGTCTTAACAATTGCAGTGTAACGTCTGCTCTGTAAAGAAGTTCAAATTAACCTTGTATGAGTCATTTGACATTTTCTGTCAGGAACTTCCAGGCGATTGACCTGCGAAGCTGTAAAAGGAATGTATCATTTCCCACCCTTCAAGTCTGTCCCTGGTGCAGAGCAGTTCAAGCTACCAGTTGCCCAGTGACAGGGAGCTGAGCTGTGCTTCTGCCCTTGATCAATCTTGCAATGCTTGCTTGCTTGCTCTCTGTTTGGGTGAGCTTGCTGTGGGCTGCAGTTTAGACTTCATTAAGCTTCCAACATACGCTCCAAAAACACAAATTCAGTTATTTTTTATGAAGGATACATGTTGTCATAGAAGCTTTTATTACCAAAAGGGGATTAAGAGGCATCGTGAGAACTCCCAAAACTCTTTAGTGGAATGTACTGTATACTTGCAACGTAGATTTCTAGAAGTGATTGTCTTCTCTGACAAGGTCTTAGCTTGCTCTGAGATCCTTATTGTATTTATCTGTAGTTGTGATTGTACTTTCTATACTTGTGGTTTTTTTCTGGTTTGGGGTGTGTGGAAGGACAGAACAGACATTCCAGTCCTTTTTCTTTTGCTATCTTTCATGAAATGCAATTGTATTGTGTAATTTTGCTACTAGTGAAATGAAAATTATACCTGTATGTATATAAAGGTAATATAGTCGAATTAAGCCTTGTTTAAAAGTAGATTTAATGTTTGGTTACAATGTCCTTGAACAGAATATTTTGCTTTGAAATGTATTACAACCTAACCAGTGATCAATTAAAACAAGCAAAATGACTTTGTATGTTTCCTTCTTTAGCAAGAGAGAACACCCAAAGCATTTCCACTGCCCCTTTCAGAACAATATGCATTTATTAGAGAAATGGTTCTCATTAGTGTGTTCAAGCTGGCTGAACCTGTTGGGAACCAAGTGGCTCTTCAGAAGTGTCTCTTCTGTTGGAGGGGTGTCCCTGCAGCGTTCTCTGGGATTTGGCAGCTCAGTTTTCCAGACTGCCTGTGCTGGGTTTTGGGGTTCTTGCACAGGACCTGATGTGGTGCTGTTCTGCTGCCCAGGGGAAGCTCTTGCCTACGTGTTTGGCAGTGATCAAAGGGAAGGGGAGCAAGAGCAAGGGGACAAGCCTGAGGCAGGAGGGAGGAATGAGCAGCCTGTAGAGATGATGGGGGAGTGAGATATGGTGATGAAGGACTGCAGATCCCAGAAATCTGGGGGAATGCTGGATGGCAAAGGGTGAGTTGCTGCTGGGAGAATACTAGCAAGGTGCTCAGAAGCATCTTTTGGCTCCCTGCTCTCCAACTAGGATGGACAAGCAGAATCTCTCATAGTTGGGAACAAGCCACTTAGTGACACTGAGAATGTTTCTTTAAAAGTTAAAAGCACAAAAGTATAGGATTACCACAGGGGTTCCCCAAGGAGAAGTGTGGAAAACAGAGAGGATATAGGAGAGTGGACAGATGTGACCAAAGAAGGATGGGTGGAATGTGCATGGGTCAGGAAAGAGAAGTATTAGCAAGCAAAGCAAACACTGTTAGGGAAAAGCCATTGCCATTGATTAATGTTTTTCATATTTTGCCTACTACTTTGAATAGTCTGTTGAGTTTACATGAACTTAAGATAGGTCTTTCAGCACCTCACTGAATAATCCTTCTCCTTATATCCTGTACAGAACATGCTGCCACTTTTGCTATGAGTCAGTTTACTCCTAATGTGCAAAGATGCTGAAACATGCATTGATACCTACTTCCAGTCCTTCACCACTGCAGCAAAGAAGGATAAGAGCAACAAGGCTGGTGAAGGGACTGGAGCATAAGTCCTATGGGGAGAGGCTGAGGGAGCTGGGGTTGTTTAGCCTGGAGAAGAGGAGGCTCAGAGGTGACCTCATCACTGTCTATAACTCCCTGAAGGGAAGTTCTAGCCAGGTGGGGGTTGGTCTCTTCTCTCAGGCACTCAGCAATAGGACAAGGGGGCACGGGCTTAAGCTCCGCCGGGGGAAATTTAAGTTGGATATCAGGAGAAAATTCTTTACAGAGAGAGTAATCAGGCATTGGAATGGGCTGCCCAGAGAGGTGGTGGATTCACCATCCCTGGAGATTTTTAAACGCAGATTGGACGTGGCACTGAGTGCCATGATCTAGTCAATGGACTGGATTTGGACCAAGGGTTGGACTCGATGATCTCGGAGGTCTTTTCCAACCCAATCAATTCTATGATTCTATGATTCTATAACATTAGTCAAGCACATCTTTCTTTGCCCTATACAAGGCCTCCAGCTACTCTGATGTGTATTTGGAAAGACTTGAGTTGGGACAACACTCCACTGCAGATAGAAACCCTGAAGAGTCAAGCTGGCAGACATCAGTATGTAGTTACACCAGGCAGAAAGTGTTACAAAGAAATAGCATGGCCGTAAATTCAGTATCAAGCAGAACAAACAAAACAGCAAGAGCCAATGGGAGATTAAAAAAAGGCAGCAGAAACACTGAGTACTGTGGGGCACAGAGCAGCCTGTAGCAGTCAAAGCTTTCCAAGTCTGTACTTGTAGACACCTGATCTGGATGCTGGAGAGCTGAAGAGAATATGATTTGCCTTGACGTAGCACTGCCTCTGTTATGAGGGTGAGAGGAGGACTTCTGGCAGATTTTTGAGCAAAAACCGCTGAAGAAGGGCAAACGGAGCATGTAGGTAGGTGAAGACTTGAACTGGAAGGATCCCTTTGAACTTGTAAGAGACTTCATCTCTTATAATCTCTGAAACTGCTGGCTGTTCTCCTGGAATGGCTTCAGCTCCTAATCAAAGGTCTGGGCACACAGGAAATAATGGCTGTGATGTTCTCTGGTGTATAATGCTGCTGGGAGACCCAAAAATTAAGCAGTTATCTTTGTAGGGGTGTTTAGGGGCTCACGTTTGGTAAGGCCTCACTTACTAATGGCCATTATCTGTCGGTGAACTGCACTGCTTGCTTCCTTGTGCACAGTTCTGGGGAGCGGGAAGACAGCAGAAGTACTCTACAGGAGATGGGATGGTCAGTGCACTGCCTCCTTGCCAAACAGTGTGCAGTGTGTTCAGCATACTTCTGATGTGCAAGACAAAACCTGAAGAGACAGCTCATCCAGCTTGCTCAGGAAGCTCATTTAAATTACAAGCCTCTTCAAAGGTTTAACATTGCGGGGATGTCATGAGCTATGAAGCACAGAGTGCTTCACTACCTAGCTTAGTGTTTTGAATTTGGTGCTCCCACTGGGTCTGCTCCTGTCCTGATCCCTGCTAGCTGGGTCCTGTCAGTTTCCCTAAGAAGCTCAAAAATGCTGATGTTGGCAGTCTTCCTAGCAGCTATTAATGATGTGTTCGACCCAAAGACTTCCCTCTTGTCGCTGGTTCCAAGATATCATCTTTCTCTGGGTTTCTGGAGTTTCTAAAGCAATGAATTCACCAGACTTCGTGTGGAAACTGACCTTCGTCAAAGCAGGACCTGCAAAACTTAGTCACTGTTATGTCTCATAGGTCCTCCTTTCCTGCTGCCCATCTGCTCTGTCCACATCCTAGCTTAGGATGCCTTAAAGGCAAAAAAGGGTGCCAGGTCTATTCTAGGGATGTGTGAACCACAAGAACTGGACTCCCAGGTGTGTTTCAATTGATTGAATTAAGGCTGTTGAACCTGGTGCATGTTCTATGTAATTTCACCAAGATGTTTTTGTATACTGTGGCTAAATTTGCCTCTTGTGCCCTTACTGACTCAGCCTGAAACCAGGGGTGAATGCAGGGTTTGATTACCAATATCTTTTTCACACAACTATCTTCACTGTGGAAGCTGCCCACCTTTTTTCTTCTTCTACCAGGCTTTTCTGCTTCACCTACCAGCATGAGCCTAACACCTATTAGACCTGGAAACTCCTCGTCTGCTTCTGTGCCCACCTGCTGCAGCTTCTTCCCTACCTGTGTAAGGCATGAGCCTCTGTCAGACCTCTGTATTTCTTCTCCTGTGTGTGGGAAACCATGAGGAACATGTCCCTCATAGAGAGCTGAACTGCAATTGTTTACCATCTCCAGATGTAAAAAAGGGTGGTTGAGGGTTTCTTATAAAATCTTCCTAGGAACTCATCCAAGGGGAAGAGAGAGAAGGGACTCCATTCTCTGCTCTGCTTTTCCTTTTTTCTTGGCCTCTTCTTGGACCACCACCCTTCTGCCATGTACACCCTCATAGTGGGTGGCAGCTGCATTGCTCCCCTGAATAAAATGCACCTGGCTGCACATGGAATTATTTATCATCAATAATCCTATTTCCTTGTTTTGATTGCCATCTGCTGGCAGAATGACGTATTCATCGCCATTTCACACCGGCACCACACAGGTTTATTTAACCAAGCCTGAGCCACACTAACCATTTTGAATGCCTTTGCGTGGTTTGTGTGTGAATGCTGCAGAAAAGGGCTGCCTTTGAATGTCTGAATTCGCAGGCTGACAATGCCTGAGGCAGAGCTAGCAGCTCTCTGGAGCTGGAAGAGCAGCGGAGACCCCCAGCTCCTCTCCCAAAGCTCTGCTGGGGACTGTGTTGTGCAGCTGCTGCGGTTTCCAGCAAGGGCACTGCTTTAGCCCTTCAGGTTCTGTCTCTGCTGTCTTCTTAGAGCTGGAGAATGAGGAAGAGGAGACGCAGCACAGGACTCTGAACTTGGGGTGAGGGATGGATACAGACAGATGGGGACACATGACTGAAAGTAGCAGAGGAGACTAAAGGGCTAGGTGGGTACATCCCAGGGCTGTGC